TGTCCAAACACAAGCTGAAAAGGAGAGTAACCTAAAGCTTCCTGGACACAGTCTCTCGCGGCGAAAATAATCCATGGAACAGTCTCATCCCATTGGGTGTTACTTTTAGCGAATGTTCTTAGCATGGTTTTTAGGGTCTGGTGGAACCTCTCAAGTACGCCTTGAGACTGAGGGTGGTAGGCTGAGCTGGTGATATGGGTAACGCCTAGCTTGGCTAGCGCTTCCTGAAAATGGTGACTGGTGAAGTTGCTGCCTTGATCTGTTTGAACGATTCTAGGTAATCCAAAGGTAGTGAAGAACCGGGTCATGGCTCTGACTACAGTCTTTGCCTTAATGTTCCGTAAGGGGAACGCCTCGGGAAAACGGGTACTTGAACACATAAAGGTAAGTAGGTACTCGTTGCCCGCCTTGGTTTTAGGCAAGGGACCTACACAGTCCATGACGATTTTAGAAAAGGGTTCTTCTAATACAGGAATCGGACTCAAAGGGGCCTTAGGAATTTTCTGGTTTGGTTTTCCGGCCAACTGACAGTTCGTGCAACTTTTGCAGTAACGCGACACATCATTTTTCATTTTGGGCCAAAAGAACAGTTCTTTGATCTTCGCCGTCGTTTTAGTGACTCCTGGGTGCGCTGACATTGGATGGTCATGTGCCAGTTTCAGTATTTCATGCCGATAAGGTGGAGGGACCCACAGCTGGTTTTTACTCAACCCTGGTTCGGCAGGTGAGGCATCCACTGGTACAGAGCGACGAAAGAAGAGGCCGTTCTCGGAGAAATACTCCCCATCGTCAGATGAGAGAGATTTTTCGACCATTGCTTTGAGTTCCGCGTCGACTTGTTGAGCTTTAATGATGTCTTCCTGAGATATCCTCAGGGGTAAGCCCAGGCTTGTGTTCTCTGGAAGCATAGACTCCAGTTTGGGAGTCAAATTTCTTGACGATGATGGTAGATGTGGTTCAGACGTTGTGTCGGCCAATTGTTTGTTCTGGCTTCTTGTCACCACACATGCAGGATACAGTTCATTATCATTATCTGGAACTGTTGACAAAGGGTTTTGAACCGTACAGGGGTATACTTTGCTTCCCGCAAGGTCATTCCCTAGAAGCAGGTGTACTCCTGGGACAGGAATACTATCTATCACACCTAAAATGACTTCGCCTTCGACGAGATGATGTTTCAGGGCAAACTTGTGTAGAGGGACTACAGTAGATTTTGTCCCCACTCCCTGGATAATGGAAACATTTCCGGTGTTCGTCTCCGGTGTAATGTCCATAGAACTTTTCAAAAGAAGTGACTGTGACGCTCCTGTGTCTCTTAGGACGGTGATATTCCGCTGAGACAACGGATCACCTGGTTTGCTAATGACAGCCTCTGTAATGAAAGATGAAAAGTCAACCTTTCTCGATCCCTCGAGATCGGTAGACTCGGAAGAAATTGGATGGTGGCGTGAACATTCAAAATGTGACTGAACATAATGTGTGGAGACTTGACTGCCATCCTGCGGACACTTAGGGTTAGTGTCCCTCAGAATTCTAGAGTTCATATTTGAACTGGCTGCTTGAGGGGATAGAGCATAATGCGCAGAGGTACGCACCGCCTCTCTGTTAAATTGAAGACGTTTGTAACAGTCCTTGACAAGATGACAAGGTCTTTTGCAGAACTGACATACTGCTCGACGATTGAGAGTTGATCTTGGTTTCTCTCTGGACTGTAATGCCTTCAAGTGTTGGCCAACAGGATGATTGCTGCCAAAAAGGGGGAGCACGGGGTTGAGGCGGTTTCCTGACACTGGTGGTTTCTTATGCACCAACATATATGTGTCAGCCGACTCAGCAGCCTTCTGGATGTCAATTATCTTGTTATCCAGTATGTGTAGTCGTATGTCTTCAGGCAGGGACTTTAGGAATTCTTCCCTTAGGATAAGTGATCTGAGTTTCTCAAACTCAGAAACTTCCTCAGAGTGTAGCCACCTTGAGAAAATTTTCTCTTTTGGGTAATTTGCGGAGTGCTCGGAATTTTATCCGATAGGCCTTGGGCGTCAGTTCGTAGGCCTTCAAAATGGCAGTCTTGACCAAACTATAGTTATTTTGAACGTCGTGAGAGAGTGCCTGGTATGTTTTTGCAGCTTTCCCTGTAAGGACCGTGCTCAATAAAGCAGTAATGGAAGTTTCGGGCCATTCACATGTCTTCGCTAAACTCTCAAATGAGTTAAAGAAAACGACCAAATCTGTTTCATCAAATTTAGGAACTAATTTCCCAAATTTGGCAATCACTTGCCCCACCGACAACTTTTTAGGATCTACCAGAGAAGTGACATCTCCACTAACTTTACCAAATTCTAATTCCAACCTCCTCTTATCTAAAGCAATTTTAGCTTCTAACTCCACTTTCTCTAGAGCAACCTTCTCCTTCTCTAAAGTAACTTTCTCCTTCTCTAAAGCAATTCTAGCTTCTAATTCTACCATCTCTAGAGGTTTCTCCTCACGGAGTATCACCCCAGCCAACAAACTTTCATCAAATACCCCTTCATTAATAAAATGAACAACAATTTTATCTCTCAACACCTCTGATTTCTGCGTAACAGAATAATCCCATTTCAATTCCTTAACAACACTAATCAAAACTTTCCTACTCAACTTCTCTACCTCCTCAACAGTGGGATTAGATAAGAAAGACTCCATTACACTAACTTCAAAATCAAACAAGCCTAAATTAACACGGCCCAACGCTGCGTTATGAACTTGACCTTCAATCTAGGACGTGACACGTCTGGCTTTTTTTACCTAGATAACTCTAGCCTTGCGCGCGTTTTAATAACACGGCTCCACTGGATAGATAAACAACTAAATCAAACTAAACTTAGTGTTTAACTGATACAACCAACAACTGGAACGACAGATTAAATGCAGGCGAGTCCCCACTTTGTAACGGACACCTATCTACCAGCCAGATAGATGGTGAACGCCCCCGGATTCTTTCTTGGGGTTATTTGCAAATGACCTAAAGCTTAAATGAATGAAAACTAACTCAACAACTCACTAGGGCTCGATTTCGAGGTCTAGGGAAAACTAGTGAAACTATTGAAGTTAACAACTCATTCAATATGCATACAACCTTTAATAAGTGAACACAGTTGTGGCCGAACACAAGGTTAAACAAGATAAAATATTTAGTTTAGAAAATAACAAAACCCAACTTACAAAGCGTAAGAAAAAATACTATCACAGATTCTAACACTTTATAAAAATAGCCACAGGTCACATAACACTGCTATAGCATCAAGAATCACTTGGCCACAAGTAATATAATACTAGAATACTTAAACAACTTAAGAATGCATAGCACACTCAGGACTTAAGTTCTCTCACGTTCAAATGGTCAAAATGGACGGCCTGGTCATAATGGACTGCCTCGTGCCGCCTGTGGGCGATCTAGTTATAGACTTAGGCAACATGGGAGGTTACCCTCAACTCATGTGGCCATTGGTTGGGGTGGTCATCTGGTCTGAATCAATCAATCAGATCTTGATGGAAAATGTCTGAGTCTTAGACTCTCTTAGTAAGACAGCGGAAAAAACCCGGTTGTTGCACCATCGACCATATATGGTATTATAACAATGTCAAAATAAAACATTACTAGACCTAAGTAGGTCACACTATTGTATATTACCGTTTTGTCCTATTGACTTATGTCCTATTGTATGCTACCGTTTTGTCCTACTGACTTATGTCCTATTGTATGCTACCGTTTTGTCCTACTGACTTGTCCTATTGTATGCTACCGTTTTGTCCTACTGACTTATGTCCTATTGTATGCTACCGTTTTGTCCTACCGACTTGTCCTATTGTATGCTACCGTTTTGTCCTACTGACTTATGTCCTATTGTATGCTACCGTTTTGTCCTACTGACTTATGTCCTATTGTATGCTACCGTTTTGTCCTACTGACTTGTCCTATTGTATGCTACCGTTTTGTCCTACCGACTTGTCCTATTGTATGCTACCGTTTTGTCCTACTGACTTATGTCCTATTGTATGCTACCGTTTTGTCCTACTGACTTATGTCCTATTGTATGCTACCGTTTTGTCCTACTGACTTATGTCCTATTGTATGCTACCGTTTTGTCCTACTGACTTATGTCCTATTGTATGCTACGGTTTTGTCCTATTGACTTATGTCCTATTGTATGCTACCGTTTTTCCTACTGACTTATGTCCTATTGTATGCTACCGTTTTGTCCTACTGACTTATGTCCTATTGTATGCTACCGTTTTGTCCTACTGACGTATGCCCTATAGGATGCTACCGTTTTGTCCTACTGACTTATGTCCTATTGTATGCTACCGTTTTGTCCTACTGACTTATGTCCTATTGTATGGTACCGTTTTGTCCTACTGACTTATGTCCTATTGTATGCTACCGTTTTGTCCTATTGACTTATGTCCTATTGTATGCTACCGTTTTGTCCTACTGACTTATGTCCTATTGTATGCTACCGTTTTGTCCTACTGACTTATGTCCTATTGTATGCTACCGTTTTGTCCTACTGACTTGTCCTATTGTATGCTACCGTTTTGTCCTACTGACTTGTCCTATTGTATGCTACCGTTTTGTCTGGGGGTTTACTGGCGGGTGCCTAAATGACGGAAGCCTATTTAACGGAAGTCGTAATGAAGGGAGATCTTTAGTCGGGAACCTATTTCACGGGGTTTAATCGCTGGCAAATTTAATCGGGTCATTATGATGGGGTTGTTTTGTCGGAGCCTTTTCGTCACAGTTGCAAAATACACATCTTTGTTCTTTCTATTTTTACTTTCAAAATTTAATAGCTCATTATTTGTTTAAATCTAAGAAATCGTTGGCCCAAACTTATATATTTTAAGCATATATGTATTCATCTATTCCTATTGTAAAGATATACATACACATAATAGTCTTTCGAACAAATAATTACATATAAATCCTCCTATTATAGAGCCAAATTTTCATATATTGTTAGATGTTCGCTGTATCGGATGTATCGGATGTATCGGATGTATCGGGTGTATCGGATGTATCGGATGTTTCTAGAAGTTGGTCTATGTATCAAGAGAAAGCCTTCTGTCTACAACATCAACTTGAGCTAGTCCGCAAAATGTCCTTAGAATTTTTTCAATCAGAAAATTCTTTAGTGGATCAACAGATTCCTATCAGAGTGAGCAGCTTATATCTTAATTTTACCCTTTTATGTCTAAACTTTAGCCTGTTGTATCTCATAACTATTAGATATTTTACCCTTTTATATCTAAACTTTAGCCTGTTGTATCTCATAACTATTAGATATTTTACCCTTTTATATCTAAACTTTAGCCTGTTGTACCTGGTAACTATTAGATATTTTAATTACTTAGTTTTTTCTACACTTATTAAAATGTATCCAGTTTTTCTATGTATCTAAGTGAACATATTATTTGACATTCATCCGTTTAATATGTTTTAGCAATTTGAATGTATTTAATATTTTCTTCACGTTATGTGAAAGGGTAAAAACTGCCATCTATACTAAAAATTTAAGGTGTTGTATACATGAATCCTACCCTGCAAGTAAAAAAAAAAGCACTGATAGTGCTGTTGTCACTTTTATGGTTCCAAAATCTATAGCGATGACGGAATGACGGACTGACTGACTGAATGACTGACTGCCACACTACCACCATGCAGCCTTATATTACAGATTTTAGCCTATCTACACTTTAGCCTGTTATACCTCAATTGAGGCCTAGTATATCTACACTTTAGCCTGTTATACCTCAATTAAGGCCTAGTATATCTACACTTTAGCCTGTTATACCTCAATTAAGGCCTAGTATATCTACACTTTAGCCTGTTATACCTCAATTAAGGCCTAGTATATCTACACTTTAGCCTGTTATACCTCAATTAAGGCCTAGTATATCTCTAACCCGACACTCGAGTTTGAATCCGGGTTCAAGTCATTGTAGAGGCCCTGAGTCCACCCAGCTCTGATGAGTACCTAACTCACGTTAAGGCAACAAAAGCGCTGGACATAGTACTGACCACAATTATCCCTTCATATGCCGAGGTCTCTGAAGCAGATGAACTCTACTTCATCTGCCCCGTGCGTCTTGGACACGAAAGGGATATATCAGTTTTACTCTGTTATATCGCAATTTTAGCCCTAACACAAACCCTGACCCTAACACAAACCCTGACCCTAACACAAACCCTGACCCTAACACAAACCCTGACCCTAACACGAGAAAAAAAAATCTGTGGGTTAGGGTTAGTGGTTATCACTAGGTTCTGGGTTAATATTTTGAAACCAAAAAATAAAACCAACATCTCCATAGCTTCAATAACATTGACGCGTACTCTTTGTAAATTGTTTTCTCGGCTTTTTATTAAAAGCTTTCAAATTGCCTTTTACTAGCAGGAAAAATAGATCAATTGATTGCTTTCTAATTGCAGGAAACAATCGATCAATTGATTGCCCATTGTAAAAGTTATCAAGCTGCAGGTCAAACGTTTCAGCGAGTGATGGAATCCCCCGTATCCATCTTAGCCAATCACAGAAAACGTTTGAATGATTCGGTCACTTCGTGTCTTCGCCAGCTCAATAACATCAATCCCATCCTCGACTTGATCGATAAACATGCCAGAGAAATCTTAGCAAAACCTCTCAACTTATTCACGAAGGTGGACGGCATGCTGGGACAGTACCACGACAATCTCAAGATTTCAAAGTTTGACATCGTTGATCTGTTGTTGGGTAAACTCGGCCAACGAGCACTAGCACAGTTCAATGCTGGGAGCCTTGAAATTCTCGACAGCATTTCAAAAATTAAACATTTTCTCTCGCAAACAGAGGCGTGTTTTTCATCTATTTATAATGACGCGGCTTTAACATGGCGTGGGTTTCAAGATAAGTTACATGACTCCGGAGTAAACCTTGACCCTAACCTTGACCCTAACCTTGACCCTAACCTTGACCAGTTGACACTTGATAACGCTGACGACATGTCTAAAATACAAGGAAGGTTGTCTGAGTTGGGTCAAGTCGACCTCTACCATCAGAACTTAACAGCTCTCGTTCAACTCCTCATGGCAGACGCCAAGAACTTCAGGCAACAGGCAGTTGTTGATTTAAATTTTTACAGGTCATTTTTAATTGACTTGAATTTTTACAGTTTATTTTTAATTGACTTGAATTCTTTTTACAGTGATTTTAATTGACTAGTCAAATACATGCGTAGTTTAAAAATTATCATTATACATTAAAAAGCGACAAAATTATTAGGTAATGTACATATATATTATCACACAAAATACTATATTGTAGCTCATATATTGTTATGTAATGGTTTATTTAAAATAGTTTATGTAAAAGTTTATTTTTCTTTAATTAAAAAAAATCACATTCGCAGTTTCGATAATATTTAAACATTTTTACTTTTGAAATATTCCTAATCATTCCTTTTGTTTTTATTTTTAAACATTAGCTTCGCTTTTTGTCTAAACATTTTGGTATTTTTTTTCTTCAGCAAAAATTTTATTTTCTTGGACATTTACTTCTCCGATATAAGCTACACAAGCACAGAACAACAAGTGGCATATGACGTCATCAAACTATTAAGTAAGTAATCCTAACGTAATGGTTATATCAAGTGATAACATTATAATGTTAACTTCAAGTGGTTAGGGTTACGGTTATATCAAGTTATAATATTATAATGTTAACTTCAAGTGGTTTATATGGCATCAGTCGAGCTGTTGATCTGTTGATTGTATTAGGCTAAGAATTAGGCTACGGGTTAGGCTAAGTGTTACAACTTTTATGGCTACGGGTTAGGCTAAGTGTTACAACATTTATGGCTACGGGCTAGGCTAAGGGTTAGAGTTAGGCTACGGGTTAGGCTAAGTGTTACAACATTTATGGCTACGGGCTAGGCTAAGGGTTAGAGTTAGGCTACTGGTTAGGCTAAGTGTTACAACATTTATGGCTACGGGCTAGGCTAAGGGTTAGAGTTAGGCTACGGGTTAGGCTAAGTGTTACAACATTTATGGCTACGGGCTAGGCTAAGGGTTAGAGTTAGGCTACGGGTTAGGCTAAGGGTTAGAGTTAGGCTACGGGTTAGGCTAAGGGTTAGAGTTAGGCTACGGGTTAGGCTAAGTGTTACAACTTTTATGTTTTACATCTCAGGTGACATCGGTGGATCAATGGGTCTGTTGGTTGGGGCCAGTGCCATCTCCTTGAGTGAGTTTTTTGACTTCATTTGTCTGCTTATCACTCACCTACGCAGGAAGGGACTACAGCATGTACGTCGATCAAGTGGGATGATAAAAACATTCTGGTCGGGCTAGGTGTTGGAGTCCTTCAAAAAGTGGGATGATAAAAACATTCTGGTCGGGCTAGGTGTTGGAGTCCTTCAAAAAGTGGGATGATAAAAACATTCTGGTCGGGCTAGATATTGGAGTACTTCAAAAAGTGGGATGATAAAAACATTCTGGTCGGGCTAGGTGTTGGAGTACTTCAAAAAGTGGGATGATAAAAACATTCTGGTCGGGCTAGGTCTTGGAGTACTTCAAAAAGTGGGATGATAAAAACATTCTGGTCGGGCTAGGTCTTGGAGTCCTTCAAAAAGTGGGATGATAAAAACATTCTGGTCGGGCTAGGTCTTGGAGTCCTTAAAAAAGTGGGATGATAAAAACATTCTGGTCGGGCTAGGTCTTGGAGTCCTTCAAAAAGTGGGATGATAAAAACATTCTGGTCGGGCTAGGTGTTGGAGTCCTTGAAAGTTTTTAAAGCCTTCACATTTATAAAAATCGGCTTTTAAATATTGACAA